CTATATAGTACTTGACAGAGAAACACTGCTATTTGACAGTTGGTATTTTATTCAGATAGCAGTCTCATTACATGTGGTCCAAGAATATTGAAAGAACTCAAATAAAATCAGATGTGAAGGTCAGTCTTCACACATCATAGCCAACGATGCCACGTTTGCCTATGATCTCTCCGACATAAAACCACATCCACACCTCAGTGGCCACCAAACCATTCAGCACAGCTTCCTGGAAAAGAGAAAGCACAAATTTTAAGATACTTTAAAAAATAAACAAACAAATAAAAAACCCAACACATATTTGAAACTATTCTCTCAGATTGACAGAGAACATAAGGATACTATTCAAAACTACAGAAGAGTTTTAGCCAAAGTCAGGAATTACTGATGTTCAATGTTCAACTTCTGAGAACCTTGAACTTTCAATTTTGTAAGCCAAATGGGCCTGGGCTTATAAATTCTTTCAAAGGAATTTTTAAAGACCTGAACTGACTTAACCCTTTCATTATTACTTTATGAGACACTTTATGGGCTCTAAAACAACCCACATCCTGGAAGTGGCTCAAACATCAGACAGGGCACTCATAGGAAGGCTTGTCTCTGTCCATCAAAGATGAAGAACTCTGTCTTCTTCTCTTTTACACCTCATTTTCTTCATTTTTATTTACTATTATTTGGTTTAATTCTTTCCAAGTATTGTTCTAAGTCCTTGAAGAGAGAGGAAAAAAAACCCCACATATGGTTCTAGAAAGCACTGTTTCATTCAAACACAAACTAGGATCTAGAAACTCTTACTTGGAAAACTACTTAGATGCTTTTGCTACCATCAATAGGGGCCTTTCTGGAGGTCATTTTCCCTTCGGTTATGCCAGAGGCCACTAGAAGCCTCCTGTCACCCACTCCCCAGGTGAGGGCTCTAGCTCCAGCAGTTACTAAAACTGAAACTTAAAAGTCAAATTCCAATTCTTGTGGCCTTTAACATACATGCAATTTGAAAACCCAAATTTTAGTATTTTTGTTCTAGAGGTTTTTATTTTTTTATTTTTATTTATTTTTAGCTGAAATAGGGATAATTCTAGGACAAAACCAAACCAAACTAACAAAAACAAAAAACAAAAACAACCCAACAAAGGCAGCCATCAGATTATACTATACTAATATTAGGAAGGAAATCAAGGCTGCCACTTATTCGAGATGCTCACCTTTATGCTCTAAGACCAAAACTAGACCAAGACAAAGAATTAGCTGAATTATTTCTATACAGATTACAAAATTTCTTAGCAGCCAAAAAAGATTATCTCTCATTATGTTGGATTCTACTTTATTGGGAAATAGATATATTAACCAAAAGAATTGGAAAAATTCCCCAATAAAGACATTTTCTGTCACAAACATATTTTTTTCACAGCCCATAGTTACCTTAACCGTAAGATGTTTGAAGCTACCAGTTTTAGCACTTTGAATTATTTTTTTCGCACTCTGAATAGCTGCAGGGAGTTCAGCAGGGGTTGGG